GATTGATTATTTCTTTGACATATCTTCTTGTAGAGTACCTTAAGCATGTATAGGTTTTAAACTACTAACTAACTTGCGCGCACATATTAACATAATAGGAATACGGTGACATAAACTAAGCAAATCTATAATTACCATCCATCTCCAGTGAAGCCAAGAAAACCAGTTAGGCACCATAGGCATTTGTGAAAATTTGTCTATGATAAGATGGATATTGTCCAACTGTACTTGAACAGTCTGAGAGAAATCAGACAAATTAAAGCAACCCATTTCTGGGATCTGTTCACATCCCATATGTTCTTTTAACCGTAGATAGTCTATAGTCGTAAGATTTTGGAGCGCTACAACTTGCACCCCTCCCAACTCCTGGTTGAGTTCCAACAGTACAGGTCCACTCAAATTCGTTGTCTCACTGTATGCACATGCCAGCCTAGACATCTCCCTCCTCATTCCAGTGGCAAGTCCAGGAAACGGTGGGATGGACGCAGCCACAACTGCAGCATCGCCCGGATTAGGGAGTTTTTTTATTACCACTTCAATTTCATTGCTGGTAATTGGTCTGTTTAGATTTTCTGTTTCTTCCTGGGTCAGTCTTAGAAGGTTGTATTTTTCTAGAAAGTTTTCCATTTCTTCTAGGTTATCCAATTTGTTAGCAAATAATTTTTCATAGTATTCTATGTTAATTTTTTGTATTTCTGTGGTGTTCATAGTGATTTTTCCTTTCTCATTTCTGATTCTGTTTATGTGTGTACACTCTCTCTTCTTCTTGTTAAGTTTGGCTAGGCGTTTATCTACTTTATTTTCTCAAAGAACCAGCTCCTGCTTTCATTGATTCTATTGTTTTACTCTTCTCCTTTTTATTTATTTCTGCTCTGCACTTTATTTTGTCCCTCCTTCTACTGACTTTGGGCCTCATTTGTTTTCTTTCTATTTTCATTAATTGAGTTTAGACTGTTCACTTTGGATTGTTCTGTTCTGATGTAAGCTTGTATTGCAATTACTTTCTTCTTAGAATGGCCTTCCCTGTGTCCCACAAATTTTGGGTTTTCATTAGTTCCTGTTTTCATTTGTCTCCATCTATTGCTTGATCTTTGTTTTTATGTGGCCACTGATCCATTGAGTATTTAGGAGCTGTTGTTAAGCCACCATGTGTTTGTGGGCTTTTTTGTTTCTTTGCATAATTTATTTCTAGGTTCATACTTTTGTTGTCTGAGAAGCTGGTTTGTACAATTTCAATTCTTCTGAATTTACTGAGGCTCTTTTTGTGGTCTAGTATGTGATCTATTTTGGAAAATGTTCCATGTGCACTTAAGAAGAATGTGTATCCTGCTGCTTTTGGGGAGAGTGTTCTGTAGATGTCTTTTAGATCCATCTGTTCTATGTATTGTTCAGTGCCTCTGTCTCCCTACTTTTTTCTGTCTGGTTGATCTGTCCTTTGAGGTGCGTGGTGTGTTGAAGTCTCCTAAAATGAATGCATTGCATTCTCTTTCCCCTTTAATTCTGTTAGTATTTGTTTCACATATGTAGTTGCTCCTATGCTGGGTGCATAGGTATTTATAATGGGTATATCCTCTTGCTGGATTGACCCCTTTATCATTATGTACTGTCCTTCTTTGTCTCTTGTTGCTTTCTTTGTTTTGAAGTCTGTTTTGTCCGATTTAATACTGCAACTCCTGCTTTTTTCTCCCTATTATTTGCATGAAATATCTTTTCCATCCCCTCACTTTTAGTAAGTGTATGCCTTTGGGTTTAAAGTGAATCGCTTGTAGGCAGAATATAGATGGATCTGGTTTTTTAATCCATTTTATAACTCTATGGCTTTTGATTGGT